CTTCAGCAACTCAGGCGCGAGGTTGTCTTATCAGCAGAGGGTCACGTGGCCCACTGTGAAGGGACCGCTCTCTGCTCTCAGTCTCTCCCTCCCAAGGCTCGATCAGAGAACGGATAATGACGATACTTGATGATCGGGGCTATTCCCTCCCCCTCTCACCTCTCCCAAGCTTTTTCATACCCCGTTTAGAGATGCCTACACGAGGAGTCTGTACAGAGATTTAGGGGACAATTGGTGGGTTGGCAGGAAGTTGTGCCTTGACATTCCTGAGGCGGCCTGTGGTTCTATGAAGTTTCTGCTCGGGTGGTTGCTTGAGATGTCAGCCAGGCTGACGAGCGACACACCTCGCGCTGTGATCACGCGCGCCTGCGATTCCCGACGGCGGCCCGGGAGGCTGCCAGCCACCATCGGGCGCACATCCGCCGCTCGGCGGCCCGCGCTCTGCTCCACGCTTGGGCGGGGCGCTCGTCGCCAGCCCTCCACGCGCGGTTGCATCAGGCGGCCGCTCTGCTCGAAGGCCGTCATGGCTCGTCCGCTGGCAACACGGCGCTGGCGCCGTGGGCCGCTGGCGGGCACGGCAGGGCAGCCGGCGCAACGGCGTGGACTCGTCGTTCTTGCCGCGCAGGGGCAGGAAAGCGCGTACGTCAACACGGCTTTCCGCACGGCGTGCAACACGTGCGGCGAGTCGAGCCATGACCGAAGGGCAAGAGAAGTGGGGCGGGCCCTGCGGGCGGAGCGGCCGGACAGGGAGGACCCGCGCCCGCCGCGAGGCCCCCGACGAGCCTGCGCGCAAGACCCCCCCCTGGGACTGCGGGGCACTCCCGCCCCGCCCACCCCCCGACGGCTGGCAGGGGGGAAGCCTTGCGCCTCCGACGGGCGCGGGAGGCGGACCTCTACCCGCCAGGCCGCGCCCGCCGCGCGGCGCACACTGACCGGCTTACCACACTCCGCGCCCCGAACCCCCACGACTCGCTCAGTTGCAGACCCCGCCAGGTCAGTGAATGGCACCACGCGTGGACCTGCGCTGCCAGATGGGGGGGCAATTGACCCGAGGTCGCACACCGCCCCGAGCGGGATTGCGCCCCCATGCTAGTCATCGGTTGGA